ATATATATATATATATATATATGTATGTGTGTGTGTGTGGAAATCTTAATGGGATCATTAGCATATTCTGTCTTCTTTTTTTTTTTTGCTGTGATTTTCTGCAATGTTATATATCGTGGATCATAAGTTAAACCATAAAGATTTTATTATTGAGGTTTCTAGTAAAGAAATTGTTTTCAACACCCATGCATCAAATAATCAAATTAAATAGAGATTATTTCATTTAATCGTGAATATGAATAATTTGACATACACGATGAATTCTACGTGGTGCTGTTGAAATTATTTATGCATATCATGTGCAACATTTGTAGTATCACTATTTTGGTCCACCTCTGTCACCTGCTTTAGAAATCTTGTACATAAAAGTAGTGCTTTCCAACTTTTTATCATATGTAATATTTTCCATTTTTTTATTTATCATATTTGTGTCTTTTTGAATGTGATGATAATCATATGGCGTCACTCATGTCAGAAGCTTTGTCCATAACAAAATCTTTCAGGACTCTCCAACTTGGCATGTTTAAGTTTTAGAAGGAACGATTCGATATCTGCTCAAGGGTTGAATACCTTTTCTGGTCTTGTTAACTTGGTCAAGTTGGATTTGGAGAAATGTTCTGGGATTCATGGAGGCCTTGTTCATCTTCAAGGTTGAATCTTATATGCAATGTTGTGTGAAAGTTTAACTAATTATTTTCTTTGATGCACTTTAATAGCCCCAACACTCATACAACGTTCAAAAGATTATTTCGATTGGATGCTTTGTTCCCTTACTCGGTGGAGATATATCAAGCAGATAAAGTTAAAATCTATTCTATACAGACAGAAATATTTGGCATTGGATAAAAGTCTATTCTCTACTGAGTTAAATTTTGAAACTAAAATAGGACATAAATTGGATACAAACAAGTTGGATTCAGATCCTCTGGATCATGTATATTTATTGGTTTTCTGTTGCCGCCCATGCATGCATTTAGTACTCGCAAGCTTGTCAATTATTATTTTTTGTTAGGAAAGCAAAATACAGATTAGTGATTCTAAATGGAAATGGTAGTCATGTACTCATGTTACAATGCTTCTTTATTGATACAATGAAATACTATGTGGAATGGTCTAGTAATGGCTATAAATACCGATGGAGTTTGGTAGTGAAGAAAAATAATTTGAATCAATAAATCCTCGAGTGACTTAAAAATGAAAGTGGGGCGCAACACAGTAACACCAACGGTTTAGAAATTTATCTAAATTTCAATGACGCATCCATATTTTTCAGGTTTGACCAGGTTGGAATCTCTCAACATAAAGTGGTGTAATTGCATAGTAGATGTTGATATGAAGCCTCTGTCAGGTTAATAGTCTACACTTATTTTATGTAGTTTTTGGTAGGATTGTTGACATCCCTTCTAAACTCAGAACAATAAGCCTAGAGTACTCCTCTTGGATGCTCTACAAGGAAAAAAGAGATCTGAATATTATAATCCTGCAAAAGGTGTGTCAAATGTTCAAAGTTATGACTTAATGACTTGTGATCTATTTATAGACCCAACATAACCAAACACCCCACCAAGATAACCTAATTATATATTAGAAAAGGTAACTAAATATAGGATAAAATCTCTATAAAAAAATAACCCCAAATACAATATCTTAATTTCAAAATTAAAATCCTAAAATTACTTCCCATTTTATATCACCTCTATTAGGAACTATGCATAAATTATTACGATATTTTTTAACAAATGAAGTTTCTGTCAACTAATGGTTCATTGCATTATAACAGATGTTGGCTTTATAAAAGATGTCTTGTACTATGTATATATATAATATAGATGGTTCATGAGATATTAGTTTCTGTTGATTTGAGTTATTTATTGATATTTTCTATTTTGGAAATTTTATTTTATTTTAGATTATTCCTTTCCAGCTTAAAATAGGAATAGCTTATTAGAGTTTTTGGCCTATGTTGGATCTCTAGATGTAAACCTGAGACGTTTTTGATTATTATATGATGTTGATTTATCAGGGGAGTATCCTGCAAAGACATACTTTCATAAATTTTCTTTCTCTGTGCCTGGTTCTACTTACTATGCTACTTTTGAAGGTCTTTTGTCTACATTTGGAGTTAAAACTGGAAGACAATAAATGAACAAATGCAATTATCTAAGTATGTTGCAATTGCAACTAATAGTCAGACGTGTTTATATAAAGCATATTCGCTGTATTCTCAGTATTACATCAGCTGAAAGGGGATACTTAGTTCAATGACTAATGGTACAATTTCTTTAATTTACTTCCAGAGCTTACAAACTTGAAAATCCTAGAGATTTCCTTCAGTAAAGTCACAGATTTTGGCATCAGTTTTCTGAAAGGTATTGTGCCTTGCATTGTTTTATTCTGATGTTTCAGAGCATTGGGAAATATATGATCATCTTCAATGTATAAGTGTCTAAGATCAACAGAATGAAGAAAACTGAGTTTCATTTCAGATCGACAGAATAGTTCATTTCCTCCATTTTCAATAATTTTTCAGCTGATTTCAGGATTACGAAAGCTAGCTTTGTTAAATTTGGAAGGGTGCCATGTAACAGCTGCATGTTTGGATTCTCTTGCAGGTTGAATTACTTGATGGATTTTCATATTGATTCTGTTAATTTTGTCATTACTCATTATAATATTGGATTCGTTTGCAGGTTGAATTACTTTATTTACTTTTTATGCTGACTCTGTTAACTTTTTCATGATTACATTATATTCAAATATTTATGTGGATTTATTTGTTATTTTAAACTTCACAATGTCAGCATAGTATTCACCTCTTTGCTTTCTTCAACAGCTTTGAGATTCTCGTACTAGTTTTCTTTGCTTAACTATTTTAACAAGAAAATATGTCAGCTGAATATTATTTTATGAAAACGGATATTATTTTGAACCAATTTCTATTATTTTCACTATTATCAACGAATTGCATTTGTAAATAAGAAGTTTCACTTGATTGGCTCTTTCTTCTAATACATGATGAGGCTGAAATAAGCATTGAAATTTTAATTGACAATGTTATGTTTTCTGCCAGAGCTTCCTTCCCTGTCAAACTTGAATCTTAGTAGATGTAATCTTTCTAACGATGGATGTGAACAGTTTTCACGTAAGTTAACACTGGTACAACTACCTAGTATTTACTTATTGGGATTTGATAAGAATTCCTGGAGTATTAAATTTGTAGCGTTTTATTTTTTCAGGACTGGAAAATTTGGAAGTATTAAACTTGGGATTTAATAACGTAACTGACGCATGTTTAGCACCCTTGAAAGGTGATTTGAAATGTGAACCCCATTCTCTCTCTCTCTCCACGATTTTGAAACGTAAGTTTATAGTATTTTTTATAAAATAAATAATTTTAATGGCTAAGATCTCATGCCGTGAAAATGTCATCAATTAGGATCTGAACCCAAGGAAGAGTTGTATATTTTACTTACTCAGTTACACTCGTTGGGTTTTCGTCCTTATTAGTTTGTAGTCATTAAGGTATTGATACTTTTGTTTGACAGATTGGTTTTTATAGTATTCGGTTGTTAAGGTAATAGTCCATGAAAGACCAAAATCAAAATGAATGAAACGGCAGGAACTAATTTCGAAAAAGAAAAACTATGAGAAATAAAATCAAAATCAGATGAAGCTATAAGGAGTTAGGGACTAATTGTTTGTTTTAACCTGTATTTTTTCAATCAGGATTGACAAAGTTGAAGAGCTTGAACCTGGATTCATGTTGGATTGAAGATGAAGGATTGGTCCACCTAGCAGGTAAATTTTCTGCCAACTCTCATTTTCCGACCCAACCTTTTTGTTGTCGGGTTATTTTAACTTGTCATATTTTATGCTTTTACCTTATAGGCCATCAGCAACTGAATTGCTTGGAACTCTCTGATACGGGAATTGGAAGTGATGGACTACACTATTTATCAGGTTAAATATGACACGTTATATTGCTTTCAAGCAAAGTTTGTACACTTCTATAGCTATATTACTTTCATTGTAATGAAAGTACACTTCTATCTAAGTAGTTTTGTATGCATGAGTCATGACCATGCGCTATGGTGATGTAGAATTCTTTGACCATCTTCCACGTGCACCATAGTTTAGCCTTTTTTTGTTATTATTATTTTGTTATTGTATTTCTTGTAGGACTGTCTAGTCTGGAGAAATTAAACCTGTCATTCACTATGGTTAATGATAGTGGTTTAAGCAAATTGTGTGGACTCTCATCTCTTAAGTCACTAAATTTGGATGCTCGCCAAGTTACAGATACTGGATTGGCATCCCTAACAAGTATGTGACTATGTGTTCGGTGTTCATATGCAAATTCACAATTCAAACAATGATTCTTTTTTTATTTTCTGTTTTGTGCATAGGCTTCTACATGTTTTTATTAATCTCAGGTTTGGAAATTATCATTAATAACATTACTGAATACTGATACAGGTTTGACTGGGCTTACAGAACTGGATTTGTTTGGAGCACGGATAACAGATTTTGGAACAAACTATTTAAAATGTATGAAATATATTATACTGATATTTTTTTTCCTACCATTAATCCAGGCAATCTTCGAAGTCAATCTTTATTCCATCTGTGGTCATCTGCATCCTGTAGAATTAACTACATGTTAATGTTCTAAGACTGATCCACTTCCAATTATAATATGAATTGAGACTTGAGAGTGTTGTGTTTATGGTAAAACAGGTTTCAAGAACCTAAGGTTGCTGGAAATATGCGGTGGAGAATTGACTGATGACGGTGTTAAAAATATCAAAGAGCTTTCATCTCTGACGTGCTTAAATTTATCACAAAACTGCAACCTTTCAGACACTACCCTGGAGTTAATTTCTGGTATATTTGCTGACTTTTTGTTGGTTGAGAAACACAAGGGGCCGTTTTGTTTGCTGCTTCTTACCAAGTTGAAAAACCAAAATAATCACATAAACAAATAAAAATCAAAATAGAGTTTATAGAGTTTGGATTGTATATTTAACTAGAACAAATGTGTTTTTTATTTATTTTCGCAGTTTTTTTCGTGAAAGTCCTAAATGCATCAGTTACTTGCTTCTCAAGGGTCTTCTAGTTGTAAGATATATAATGGATCATGTGAACTCCTGCAGTTAGGATTTAAAAGTTTTGCTGTGAGGAATAGGAATTACCTTAATTCAGGTCTTCGTAATTTCCCATCACGTCAGGCAGGGTTTGTCCATGATTGTAGTCTTTAGTTCTTTATTATAAATCAGTATGATCCCCAAAATCCAACATGAACACCTTGATCAAGATTGAAAACTGCAATGGTTGGTTGTCTATTTCAATTGCATGACCATAGCCATTATGGTGTTGTTTGAAAATCACAACTGCAATGAATTTCCCCTATTTGGTGTTATCATAACGAAAAATGCATGGTCTGCTTCTTTGTGTGAAACATAGGAGGTGATTGTAATTTATCTCTTGGTGCTCACATGTTTGTGCATGTAATTTCAGGGCTTACTGGTTTGATTTCTTTGAATATTTCAAATTCTGGTATCACAAATGCTGGGCTGAAGCATTTGAAAACACTCAAGAACTTGAGGTCTCTATCATTGGAGTCTTGTAAGGTGACAGCAAATGACATTAGAAAACTTCAATCAACCGACCTCCCCAATTTGGTAATCTTTCGGCCCCAGTAATTTGGGACATATTTGGATATGTTGTAATCTATATAATGAACAGTGCCGGCCCCGAGTTTTTTTTAAGGTGGACAAGCCAAAAAAAAAATAATGCTCTCAATTATTTAAGTATTATCCTTTTATTTTTATTAAAAATTTAATAAAATATCAAAAGTATTTTTTTTTTACCATTTATAATGAACATCTTATTTAGTATATTTTTTTTAGTAATTTATCTTGTAAATCACTTCAAAAGTTAATTCATATTATTAGATTGTAAATATTCAATAAATTATACTGAATAGGTTATTCAACGTGGATATGTTAATTTTTTTTACTAAAATATTCAATTTCATTATAATAATCATCTTTCATATTCACTATTTTCAACTAAAATATTAAATTCTTCATTACTTTTATATAATTCTTCATTCTCAAAATTTTTAGCTTTGGAGTTTAAATTATTTAGATTTGTATCATTTGGAAGAAAAATTATAAGATGTTTAACAAAAAATTTATCAAGAGTACCCTTTTGAGAATTAATATCCATTTCAATTTTTTTAATTCTTTTCCATTTTAGATGACCATAAGGTTGTTTTCTATGCAATATGTTTAAATCTAAACAATTAGACAAGTATAGACAAAAAAACTAAATTAAAATTTATGAATCAAATTATGGATCTTTAATGAGTAAATAACAGTGAGATAAAATAATAGTACCTTATTGATTATTTTTAAACATTTATCTTGAACTTTGAGTCACTTGTTGTAGAAGAAAAAGAATTAACAATGGTGATATGTCACCAAAAAATTTGCAATGGCTAATAAAGAGGTTGTCAATTTGATTTTAATATTCTAGTAGAGCATAAGAAATTATGATTAAGAAAATAGAGGTAAAATCAAGGAATTATATATATATATATATATA